ATGACTGTGATCAATCAAAAAAATGTGAATACCCACACTCACAATTCAAAGGGTCCACACTTCCATTTGAAATTTCCAAAGGGGTTCACAAATGAAGAAAGGTTGAAAACCATTGCTTTAAAGGAAACTGAAGGCAGAGATTAGAATCCCTCTGGTTTGTTGCAAAAAATTCTGCAAATCAACCACGAGTTACTAGATGACTAGTGTCATAATGAACCTTGCACTTATCTAGCCTCTGCTCCAGATTACTGACCCACTTCTGCTGTGCAATCCTGACACCCACTCCATCTGTTTCCACTTTCTCAGAACATTTATTAAGGTCAGAGAGAGAAATTGTTTTAATTATACTACATAATAAAAAGCTGTTCATATAATTTTGTGGCATCAAGTATGCTAACATGCCTGCTATTAATGGAATCAAATGTAAATTCTTATACAATCTAATTACATATGAAAAAGGTATGTAGACTTCTGATGGGACTATCTGACAAAGAGTCCTTAAACCAATCTCTCCTTAATTAGAAGCGCTGACTAAAACTTTAAGTGGTTGGTTTGGTAAATGGGGGAGGTTAGAAAGCAAGAACTAGAACAGGTTTAAAAGTAATTGAAAAAACTACATGGGGAGCCTGGCATAGCTGGCATTAAAATTCCTAAATGATCATCTTTACAAGGCTCCTGAAGTAGTGGGATCCTTACACTTCTGTGTGTTCTTTTCACTGGAAACCAATTTAAAAATCTGAAAAATGTCTCTTGCATGTTCAAACACTTCCAACATCTTTTAGACAGTCCCCAGGATTCCTAATAGGTATGCAGGCACTTAGTAACCCTGGATTAGTACATGCTTCTGAATGGAAAAGACAGAAATATTAACTCCTTTGCAAGTCAAATTTAAGTCTGTATGATCCTGGTTAAAAGTGCCTTCAACAGTTCAGGGGCAATAGTTATTCCCTGCCCAGAAGTCAATAGTAACAACTATTCTATGTCTGAAAACAGTTGCATCAGCATCAGACATCACTATTAGGGCTGTGCAAAGCTTGGGTGCCAATTGGATTCGGAGGAAATTCAGCCCGATTCGGCGGTCGAATCTCCGAATCCAAATTTAATTGGGAGACCAATAAAAAGGTCCGAATCGATTCAAAGCTTTCTGAATTGATTCGGAAAAGATTCAAAGAGCTTTGGAGATTCAGGCAGTCCCTGCTCGCTGCAGGGAGCTGGACCCGGACTCTTTGCTGGTAAGAGAGGGAGAGAAAAGGGGGGGGGGGGGACGGGGACGGACACGACGACGACGGACAGATGATGGACCATGAGGGGACCCCTGCCAGGCCCCATCCCCTGCCTGCTCCCCCACCCCTGTCAATGGCTGTCCCGCCCGGCCCCAGTGTCCGGGCTCTTTAAAAAAAACACAAATAAACCCCCCACACTTACCAGCTGCTGCAGTGGTCGTTGGGGCTTCTGGGGGCTCATGGCAGAACCCCCCCCCATGCAGTGCAGGGCAGTTGGGGGCAGCAGAGATTGCCCCCCTGCCTGGCAGGATGCTGGTGAGTGCAAGGCTTTAAGAGCCGGGATGCTGGAGCCAGGCAGGGCAGCCATTGATGGGGCTGGGAGAGCAGGTTAAGGATGAGGGCTCATGGCAGAGCCCCCCCATGCAGTGCAGGGCAGTGGAGTGCAGCAGCGATCCCCACCCCGCCACCTGGCAGGAGCCAGTGAGTGCAGGGCTTTTTTTTTTTTTTTTTTAAAGAGCTAGGACACTGGGGTGGGCAGGAGGTGGGGCCTGTTTGATTTGGAGATTCGGCAGGGGCCGAATCTCTGAATCGGATGATTTGGCTGAATCGATTTGGGACAGTGATTTGAATCACTAAATTGAATCACTGCCCCTCGAATTGGCCGAATCCGAAGCGAATACTAGCCGCTTTGCACAGACCTAATCACTACCCCTTATGCTTATTTCTGCCACTGAGTTGAATCACTCAGGGTATGGTCAAACATGCACTTTTAGCAGCTTCAAGAAAGGAACTGCTGTTCAGGAACAAGCAGCAAGTGTTATGCTGTAACTGTTGCACATGGGACAGCCTGTCACGATACAAGTACAAGCAAAAATTGCCCCAAATTTAAGCCTGGATGAAGCAGAGGTAAAGGCTAAAGAGTACCCTACAAGCAGGCGCATGCACCCTCTGCCCCTCACTAAGCAGCAACTAGCCCTCCACTTTTGAAGCTTGTCTGTATCTTAAGTATCTCCCTGATTAAGGTCAGCCTCAATAACACTGCGGTACAGGTAAGGCCGATATACAAACAGCTTCCAAATAAAGCTAGTAGAGATTCTACCATCAATAGATATTTCACCTTTAAAACCTGAAAGACAAGATGCTCCAAAGCCATGACAGTAGGTACCTGCAGCCCCTCATGATTCTGTCAGACAAGTACAAGAGCATGGTGTCTGGACATCCTCTCTCATTAAGAAATATTAAGCAAGATCCCTAAAGCAAACTGAAGTGTGCACTATGGCTACTTGGAAAAATCATTAGCAGAGCTTCCTAAGAAGAGTGGAATACAGCAATATTGGAAGCAACCAGATTTACAACCATTGCAAACACGTTTAAAAGTCTACACCGAGGACCAGGGGAACGGATCAAAATGTATTTTCTACATGATGAACAGCCCAACATTAGCAAATGAAACTGAAAGCTCTCCTGGACAACCCTGACAAAAATATAAACTGCGTTTTGTTTAAAACACACCAAAAAAACCAGAAACACCACCACACAAACAACTGATACTACAAAGACAAATTAAGAGACTTTCCAGTGATGTTATGGGGCCTTTCCATTAAATATGGGCAACTCATAGAGTCAAGAGGTTGAGTCAAAATTGGGGAAATGTAGTTAACGGGAAGTAAGTCTACATTCCTATTCTGTGTATATGAAGATTAGATTTTTAACTAAAATTTAGACTAAAAAGGAAACCATCAAAGGTGTTACTAATCTGATCAGCATAATTGAGATGTTCTGAAACACCTGGGAAAGTGCAAGTCTGACACCCAGCCCCAGGATGCTGGGGCCACAGGCATGTTTGAGTTTAGTTAGAAGATTAAACAGGAATATATATGACAACTGGAAGACCTCCCTGGATTCCAACTTACTATTTTTTGAGAGGTAGCCAGCGAGGGACAAGTAACAAATGAAACAAGTCCTTTCTGCAAAGAAACTCAAGCACAAAGAAACACTGAATTAATGGGCCACTGGATATTAATGAATAATTAATTAATTAATTAATGCTGCCCCTATTCAAAGCAGTGCCATGCTATTTAAAATTCTTGGAGTTTGGGAAGTATCGGCAAATTGCAGTATTAAAACTGCTCCTCATTTTGATTCCATGATTACACTATGGATACAATACTGTTCTATGTAATACAGGTGATAAGCAGTAGTTATTTTGTCCCATTAAGATGCAAGACGAGTTATCTAAACAGAGGTAGCCCAAAGAAGATTTTGATGAATAGATGAACTAGTTCATTTATCACTGGCTTTAAATTATTTGGATAAAACTATGATTGTTTCTATGTTAATATCTTTGACACCTCTCTGTTAGACTTCCTAGAGGTCTAACACCTAGCCTAGAATTTGAATCCACTCCTTTCAAATAAGTTTCTACCTCTTGTGGCGCCAAGGAGTGCCATCAAATCTATAAGACTTTATAAACCAATGCTGTCAAGAGGCTCCAGTCCTATCTAAATATTTTACTGCTGATCATTTATTAACTAGCATCAGAAAAGGAGTGGAACTGAAGCTCCCAGAATCTAGGAATTTCTACAAAAAAGAAAAAAAGCATAAAAAAAAGCAACTGGGACAAAGGGAGTAGAAAGAAAGAAGAGAGCAAAAAACAGAAAAAGAATAGTAGGAGACAGAGGGGGACAGGGAAAAGGGGACAGAAGTGTTACGCCAAATAAAACAAGGAATGCTAAAATATTTCCTACATAAAGGTTGTATTTGATCCCTAGAGGATGCAAAGCATCCTTTGCTAAGTCAGATCTATTGTGCAAAAGAAACATGCATTTAATGACACTTGGGATGAAATAAGAATCCAAACTCTGAAGACTGATCCAACAGTGCTGACTTAAGAGCCAACTACTGGATATGGGTACAGAATTTCCATTTCACATGTAATCAGGTTTTTCAGCAGACAAATAAGGCACCTGTGAGATGATCCAAAAATTTACATTTCAGACAAGAGTTAAATGAAGTCAGGCATGTGCCCCCATGTGAATTCTGCACAACACGGATCTACAGAAGGACAAATCAAATAAATGCTTACAAAGATAACCCTTTCCTTTCACACAGCAGTTGCTATGAATTAAATCAAGAAAGTCACTCACCTAGATATATGTACAAGGCACAGAAGTAATATATAGCAAGAAATAGGTTAATAAATGAATGCTGTTTCCATTAACTGGTAATAAAGATTCCATGGTAAAGATGGTTTCCTAGCATAAAATGTTTCCCTCTTCCAAGGGGAGAGGCTGTAACATGTACAAGTGAAGTTTACAATAAACAATGCAAGATCATCATATGTAAAATGTTAGATGACTGAAGTGTTGACCAAGGAAACAAGTCAATTTTTACACTGGAACTGCAAGTTGAGCAGTCCCCTCCAGGAGCAGATAAGATTTTCAAATTTAAGACATTAAAGAGAATGCTCTGATCTAAACTGCTAAGAGCCCCATTATACCAATAAAACTGTGTGTGGAACCTAGGTAAGAAATGAATCAGCGGGTCTTAAAAATATTTGTCCAACTGATGAGTTAAAGACCTTGTTAGGCACGCTATTCAGTTAAAAAAAACAACACAGTTAAAATAATTAAGTTCAAGATGAGTTTTCAAACAAAAGAATTTGGAAGCATGCAAATGAGACAATGCTTTCTGTAGGACAATTTAAACACAAAAATAACCTCTGCACACGGTCATCTCCTATAGCTTGAACTGTATTTCAAACCCAAGAACACTTACCTTGGTATTGTAACACATTTTGTATTGCAGTTCTGAGTGGTGATGGCTTTTTCAAGCTCATCTAATTGTCCTGTTTTTTTTAACTTCTTGACCAAGCTTTTCACTGCTTTCTCGCACCATTTCTCCTCCTGACCATTCTGCTCACCACCACCTGCTCCTCCAGAGCCACCAGCTGATTTCTTCCATCCCAGTAGTCTCTTCACAACTGGTGGAGTGAACGGCAATATGGATGACATGTTCTCAGCAGATGCAGCACTGACTCAATGAGTTAGCAGCCCTATCCAAAGGAAAGTAGAAGGAAAAAAAAAGTGAGCACCTAGTTTTTAGTGGAACAAATGCCTTGGTAAACCCCCTGTTATCAAACATAGTAGAATTTATGACATATTCCAGAATGACAACCAAAATAAGTGAACTTAAAAAAAAAACCCCAAACCCAAGCATAAACAAGCCAAGAAACCCCACCACCAATCATCATCCATTGAAGCTAAATTTGACACTCTCCTTACATATTAAACTCAACAGCAGGTAGATGTTCTCCCTTTTCTAAAAGGGAAGTGGTAACCCGCCATTCATCCTGTGCTTCCAACCCCCAACAAAAAAGTTGCAAACACTTCTAGAAACTTATTTCAATTAACACTTGCAAATCTGGGGCAAGCAGACCCAGGGATTTTGGATTAACCCCCTCCACAATTCATTTTTTTTTAATTAACACAAATTGCTTTTCAAAGATAATTCCTTCTTGTTGTTCCATAAGGGCCAGTGGCTCATGCCAAAGACAGTTTAGTTGCACCAAACCCATGTTTTAGCTTCCCCCACCCCTGTACTGCTTAAACCTAATCACTTGATGATTAAAATTAATCCACTCATTTTGAAAAAAAGCAGTTCAGTAAAACACAATAGAGGAACAAAAATGACTCCTGTCTAGATGCCGCTAAAAGACTTATTGCAAGATTAATCTATTATACTCAGAGGACTTAAGTGGACAAGTGAGCTAGTTCACATGCATTTTGAGCAGATTGACAGCAAACAATGTACAGAGATGTATGCACATTTGTACAGCTTGAAATAAGATTCCACTTGCTAAATTTATAACTTCAAAATATTACTTCATCACAATTTATTGGTGGAAGTCTCCAGTGCCTGTTTAGCTAGCCATTTATTGCTTTATCACAAGAGTATAGACTGCCACAATGTTGATTCCCCACAGGACACCCATTAGAAAGCCACTCAAACTGGCTGAAAAGGCTTATCATCTTTTTTTCTCCAAACTATGTGTACAACGATTTGTGGGAAAATTCATTAGTTACAGGTAGTAAATCTTGCCAGAATGGGAAGATGCCAAGATTTTGCTTTCACTTTTATCCAGTGGATTTTGCAACAGTAATCTGTCTCCTTCCAATTTCAAGGGATCTTTATCCACAACCACAAACAAGCAGTTAATAGGATACCCCTTAGTAGTATATATAAGGTCCTGAAGAGCAATTTGTGCCCAAAAGTTTGTCTAACATCTCTCCCAAATACACTCTTGGTCTAATAAAACACTTCACCAAAAAACCTTGCTTCTTGCCTATTTCTTGGCCTATTAAAGCTACAATAACACTCCAACCTTACTATAAAAATATTGAAAGATCACTGAAAGCCATTATCTTGTCCTTTCCTTTTAACTCAAATTGAGATTTATTGGAAGAATTCACTTTTACTACGATTTTATATATTCCTAGTATAAACTCAAACCCAGCTTTATAGTTTTAGGTAAGCAATTCATGTCACCAGGCAAGTCATATCATCTTTTAGTTGAGGCCTAAACTGAAAGTCAAAATGCACAAACTCCCATCTTCTTTCCAACCAGCAATTGACTGTTTTGATCAGTGTTTTACTGTTTAAAAAGTTTCCAAGCTTCAGATTTTCTCATCTCTGACATTTAATGCATAGACTGCTGCAAGAACTTATTGCTTTCTTGCTCTCAACCCTATATTAAACTGACTAGGTGTTCATTTTCGCACACTGCCTATAGACGGATACCCATTAGTAGTACTCACATGCTTCATATCTAAGTATATAAAAATATAAATGAATTAATTCAAATTTACAAATGTGAAGACCCACAAAATCTAAAACCTGGTCAAATTCTAGGCAGTACACTGGACAGACTAACCACCATGAGCAGTGTCCCATGTTTCAGTCAACATTATGTTCAAATCTTTGTGATATTTCTCAAAACACTTGAGGAAATGAAGCATTCCTTAATGGCTCATCACATCTTTAGATATGATATAGAGATTAGATATCATAGAATCATAGAAAATGAGGGTTGGAAGGGACCTCCTGAAGTCATTTAGTCCAACCCCCTGCTCAAAGCAGGACCAGGTCCAACTAGATCAACTCAGCCAAAGCTCTGTCAAGCCAGGTCTTGAAAACCTCCACCACCTCTCTGGGCAACCTGTTCCAGTGCTTTACTACCTTCTCAGTGAGAAAATTCTTCCTACTATGTAAACTAAACTTCCCTTGCTGCAACTTGAGGCCATTGCTCCTTGTTCTGTCATCTGCCACCACTGAGAACAGTTTAGCGCCATCCTCTTTTGAACATCGCTTCAGGTAGTTGAAGGCTGCTATTAAAATCCCCTCTCAGTCTTCTCTCTTCTAGACTGAATAAGCCCAGTTCCCTCAGCCTGTCCGCATAAGTCATGTGCTCCAGCCCCAGAACCATTTTTGTTGCCCTCTGCTGAACTCCCTCCAATTTGTGCACATCTTTTCTGTAGTGGGGGGCCCAAAACTGGACACAGGACTCTAGATGCGGCCTCACCAGAGCTGAAAAGAGGGGAAGGATCACTTTCCTTGACCTCCGGCAACACCCTTACCAATGTAGCCCAGGATGCCGTTAGCCTTCTTGGCAACAAGGGCACACTGCTGGCTCATATTCAGCTTATTGTCCACTGTAACCCCCCAGGTCCTTTTCTGCAGAGCTGCTGCCCAGCCAGTCAGCCCCCAGCCTGTACCAGTACATGGGGCTGTTCCACCCTAAGTGCAGGACTTTGCACTTGTCCTTGTTGAACCTCATGAGATTCCTTTTGGCACAATCCTCCAATTTGTCTAGGTCACTGAATCCTAGAGCCCTGCCCCACAGCATATCTACTACTCCCCCCAGCTTGGTATCATATGCAAACTTGCTGAGAGTGCACTCTGCCATCTTCCAGGTCACTGATGAAGACACTGAACAAAACCAGCCCCAGGACTGACCCCTGGGGCACTCCACTTGACACCAGCTGCCAACTAAACATTGAGCCATTGATTACTACCCTCTGAGCCTGATGCTCCAGCCAGTTTTCTATCCACCTTACAGTCCATTCATCCAGCCTGTACCTCCTTAGCTTGCCTGAGAGAATGTTGTACGAGACCATATCCAAAGCTTTGCTAAAATCAAGGTATGCCAGATCCACCAGTCTCCCCACATCCACAGAGCCAGTCACCTCATGGAAATGGGTACCAATTGCCTAAGTATAGTCAGTACCATCTCCACTGACTTCACTGAAGTAAATTAAGTATAATTCATGTGATTCCAATCCCAATTTCTCGCGTGTGCGCTTGGAGTGCTATACAGGAAGCATAACAGGAAGTTCTGCTTTGCAACGTTCTGTAATTACCGGCCGACTCGGGATATGCCTGATACCCCGGTGTCCAATTCCTGACTTGTCAAATTCCTGAGCCCTACATAACAATTCTACAATCTACAGACTTTTTCTGCTATCAATTTTAGATCTACCACCCTTCCATGTCATAGACTTCAACTGTTTTCCTCTTCCAAATGAAAAGTAATGATACCTACCAGCAATATATGTTTCTACATGCTTCTACCATGTGCTCACTTGCCTCCCAGATAACAATCCCAATTTTTCCATACCCTAAGCTAGGACTGTCCAACCGGCAGCCTGTGGGACAGATGCAGCACAAAGGGTTAGCCCGAGACCCCCTAGGTATCTAATCCAGAAACCACTCCCCCAATGGTTTCCTGCTGCTATCAGAGTTTCTCAGCTCTCCTTCCCTCCTCTAGCTGCTTCTTCCTCTCCCAGTCGCTGGAGGTGAGGTGGGATAAGGCATGGCCTGGGGTTGAGCTGAGAAACCTCATACAGCACAACTAGGGGGTAGGGGACATACAACACAGCATAGTGCCGTGCAGCCCCCCAGAAGTTGGACAGAAAAGTAAAGGTGTCTTTCCCAGTCAGCCATTTATAACCTCTGCAGGTGTTTAAGTGTAACAGAAAAGCAAGGGAAGGTTCTTTGGGTAAATGTGGTATTTTATGAGACCAACTAAATAGTTGGAAAAATTGTTCTTTGCAAGCTTTGAAGAAGGGTGTTTGTGCCCAAAAGCTTGCAAAGAACAATTTTTCCAACTATTTAGTTGCTCTAATAAAAGATATCACATCTACCCAAAGAACCTTGTCTGCCTGTGTCCTTAGGCCAACATGGCTACAACCACCGCCACAGAAAAGCTATACTTACAAGAGCCAAAGAAGCGGTTAGACAGATCTTTTTACTTCACAAAAGCAAAGTTATTTAGAGCTCAACCAATCTGAATTTTTCAGGTATATTCTGTTTCTAGTTATTTCAGCCAGTTCACAAAGTACACATGAAATCTTTACTGGTCTAGCTCCCCAGAGCCTTAAAAATATAAGAACATCTGCTGCCTTTGAATCTGTATGCAAGTTGTCTTAAAAAAACAACAACACAAAAATTAAACAGCACTGCTTACAAAAAAGTTTTCCAGCTTTAAAAGTCCTTTCTAGGGCATCAGTTTACATTAGGAATGCCACATCTTTGCAAGCAGCACCAGAATTTGACTACAGACAAGTAACAGCAAAACTGCTGAGACGCCTCAAGATTTGGTATGCTTGGTTTTCTCGGGCTAGTTTGCTGCTCCTAACCATTCGTATTTAGACCTTTGGCAGGCAGCGTGTAAATGTGCACGTGGGAATAGTGTCATTTATTGCAGCGGGGGCCAAGGTCTATAACAGGCTGAGCAGAGAGAACGTGACAAAAGTAGAGCAAGATTTTATTTTGTTAGTCTTAAGACTTCAGCAGATCATGACCGAGCACACACACAAGCTATTGTGTAGCTAGATGTGTAAGGCTTGCAGGACAGCACAACTGAACAGCAGTATGACAAAGTAGGGACTACTAATAAGTGCGGTCTGAATGCTGAGGCTTCAGTTACTTGGAGTTACGCGAGGGAAAATGGCAGTGGAAGAGTATGTCCCCCCCAAAATAACTGAAAACAGTTCT